TCTTTCCCTGGTTTTAAGGCTTGGGGCTGCCCAGCTTTCTCATTCTGAAGAACCATCACAGTTTTCATAACATACCAATGGATTCACAGATAAGGATAATAAGATAGCTTGAAAATACCATTTTCCATACAGAATCATGTTATATTAAATAATTAAAACTCCTAGAATGCAAACTAGCAAGGAAAAGTCACTTTTCAATAAATTTTTTAAAGTAGAAAAGAACTATCATTTAAAGAAAGTTGGATACAAGATATGCTTCATTCTCTGTGCTCTGCTATCAAAATACAGGAACAAAATAACCTCATATAAATTTCTGAATAAATTCATAGCTATTCAAACACTCACTACTTGCCATCCAAAACTTAAGAGTTACTTAGATTCTATATCCCTTATTTTCCAAACTAGGGATCCAAACAGATTCAGTCAGTGAAAGATTCCTAAACTTACAAGACAAATTTAAACATGGGTAAGTGCCTTAAAAAATATCACCACAACATTTTTTTTTTAATGAAACATTCCATTAGAACATAAAAGCACAACCTACACCCATATTTTCCAAACAAATCTCTGGTATAAAACAAGACAGTGAATGATTACACACGTTTTCACAATCACTATGTAGGAGAGCCGCCTTAGATATCAATCCAGAGGGCGACAAAACAATAGGAAGACCCTGGTGATACAAGGATGACAAGCAGAGAGTGCAGAACCATGAACATGCACACAGTTCTCAGCACTTAACAACCACTTCCACTGTTTTACTACCTTCACCTATAGCCCTCCTGGTTGGATGTTCCATATATTCAGCTTCTGCCCCAGCACCACCTCTGCCTACCTCTATCCAAAAGGCAGGGGAGCCAGTAAATTTTATTTTTTTAAATCAAGCTAGCTCTGGCCTATTTCACTGAAGTTAAGATGCCACTGTTGATAAGAAACATCATCACTTATGTACCAATAAGACAAAATGCTAATTAATCTAGGATAGGCCATTAATTAATTGTAAGATATCTCAACTCTGGTGATGTCAAAATGAACCAATGAACTATGATAAAACCCACTGCATCCATATGCCACCAACAATGGCAGAGACATCCCTGACAGCTTAGCTGCTGAGGCCCCATCCAACCAATAGTGTTTCCCTTTCCAAGACAGTTTCAATTGTTGAACCCCAGCCATTTTAGAAACAATGTTACTAACTCAAGATAACTTCAGAGCCCACTTATCTGCCACACAAAGGCAACATGTTTTAAGATACTTAACCCTCATTTTCATCTCCATTATTCCCAAGTAATGAGCCTAAAGTCTATCCAGGGCAACTAGAATTTTAATATATTGTCATTTCTAAAGAGAGAAAAATTAAATTTACACAAAAGAACATTCCATGTATCTTCACTTTGTCCTAAAAAGAGAAAGAGAACACAAAACTGGAAACCAATAAAATGTACAATTTGCCTAAATTCAGATTACCAGAAAATCTAGCAAAATCTAATGTGAATTTTCTTTCATTCACTGGCTTCAAACAAGGAAGCCTTGTCCTGATGCCACTTGCATGTTCAGATTCCCATTAAATATTCTCCTAATCCCCTATATACTTCCCCTTCTCAGTAACTAGCAGATCTTACTGAAAGAATGAACAAATCAAAGAATGAATAAACAACATAACATACTCATACCATGCCTGACCAAGGATGAATCTGGTTCTCAAGAAGTAATTTAAAATCTCAAGAGATTCCCAAACCATAGAACACCATCTTCCAAGTCTCATTATCTCCCAGTTCACTCATTTGCCCTTTTCTTACAAGTAAATTCCATTATGTGTGCACACTTATATATTGGAGGGTCACTACATTTTCCCATTGAAAAACTCTATTGGGCTTCCCTGGTGGCCAGTGGTTAAGAATCCGCCTGCCAACTCAGGGGACACGGGTTCGCGCCCTGGTCTGGGAAGATCCCATATGCTGAAGAGCAACTAAGCCCATGCGCCACAACTACTGAGCCGGCGCTCTGGAGCCCGCGAGCCACAACTACTGAGCCCGCGTGCCCAGAGCCCATGCTCCGCAACAAGAGAAGCCACCGCAATGAGAAACCCGTACACTGCAACGAAGAGTGGCCCCTGCTCGCCACAACGAGAGGAAGCCCGTGTGCAGCAACGAAGACCCAACACAGCCAAAAATAAATAAAAATTAAAAGAAAAAAAGAAGAAAAACTCTACTAAAGAGAAGACAGAGGAAAAGTCTGGTTCCAGGGCTCCATACTGCCCTTACCCAGCACATTTAACAATCTGCTCTCTAAATAAAAACTCTAAAGACATCTGCCAATAGGATCAAACTGGTAAGTACATCACTCTGTGTTTAAAACAGTCACAGAAATTTAAACTAACCTCCAGCAGCAGCAAGTACTATTCTTGGCCCCTTATAATGTGTGGTTATATAATCCACTAAGTCCTTACGATTTATAGACCTGTAAGTGGAGTAAGAAAAGCAGTATTAAAAGGAAATTTAAAAGCACAGATCCTCACATAATATACCTGATACTAAATTGGACCTTAAAGGTATTCCAAGTTAAATGCAGTCAAAAGTAGGATATATGCAACAAGTATCAAAGTATATATCAAAAAAAAAAAGATTTAATACCATCACTTGTTTATTCCAGAAGTAGCTACAAACCCAGACACCTGGGAGTTAGGTGGGGCTAAAGTGTAGCTTAAGTACAATTTCATTCAGATTACTGGGGGTAAAAAATTACTTTTTGAAACATACTTTTTGAATGTGAATGTTAATTTTCACAATTCAAATTTTTTCTCAAAAAAAAAAAAATCTGAGAATTATACCTACTTGATATTTTCAGTTGGTCCCAAAATTGTCCGTCCAAGTGCAGTATTTTGATAAGCTGTGGCATGAAGATAATCAAAAACAACTTCTTGTAAATTGGTTTCAACTTCCTGCATCTCTCTAAGGATTACTCCACGTTCACGTTCAATCTCTGCTTCTCCCAATGTGCTGTTTTGTATTATGTCAGCAAGAATTTCTACAGCTTATTGAAAATAAAACACAAGAAGAAACACTAAAATCTTAAACTTTCACTATTTAAAATCTATTAAATTAGCATCGGAAACAATGATAGTGACCATCACTCAATATTGACTAAATGATTAAACTAAGAAGAAATAAATGTTTCTATAATTTGATATACCTAGAAGGACTAAATTAAAATGAGAAATGCAATCCCCTGTGGTGCAGATGAACTTGAATAAGACTAAATTTGCCAGAAGTCCCCACAACACTTGTAAAATGACTGCCTACAACCACTTCAGAACGGTCATGGAAATCTGCATATAACTGTATATTGTTCTCTGTGACAATGGTAAGGAGAAAATTATCTATCTACTCAGAGCACACAGGTACACACAGAGAGCCGACATCACCCAAACAGTTACTACCCAAGATCCCACAGCAACGAGGCTACTATATTAAGAAGCCAAGAACCATCGTAATCTAATATATACCCCCAATGAACCACTTACAGAATTAGTGTCCTGTCAAATATCTTTCCCCACTTAATGCCAGTTAATGGTCAATGTTGGTTAGATTCTGGTCAATGCTGGTTAGATTCTGACCATTAATTAGTAAAGTCACTGATAAATGATGATCCAACAGAGCTGGAGCAGTTAACATTTGAAAAAAAGGATAGGTACCCTAAAAGAGATAACATGACTATCAAAGGATTAAAAGTGACCCTTGGAAAAACTGATAAGACCCTCAAGTATTTATACAAAAATGACCCTAATTTGCAAAAAGCCACAAGTGAACTAAAGGATTTATCATGCTATTAAGCAATTTTATCAGAAAAAGTACATACTTCTCCAAAAAAGGAAAACCTAAACTATCCTTGAAGAATTAGTATATAGTTGCAATCACAATCTAAATTTTAGACAATATAAAACAAATTTATAAACTTTAGTTTCATTTTGTTACTCTGCTTTAAATTTCTGTTCCTTGTTTTAAGTTCACTTTAAGGTGACTTGTCTCAGAAGCAATAATGTTCAAATACCAAGGACCTCCTGTAATTAATTACCTCTACAGACTACCCAACATGACAAAACAGACTGCTAGAATAGGCTGGGACCGAGATCCTGGGCAAAAAGAAAAAATTATCTGTAAAACCATCTCTCTAACACAATGCTGTAAATCAACTATGCTCCAATAAAATTTAAAAACAAAAACAAACAAAAAAAACCTATCTGTCCAGACAAGAGAAATAAAGGCCCAGGTGGGTAAGGAAGAGCCCAAAGACAGATGGGAGGACAAGGGATCCTGTGTGAAGCCCCTCCTTTATGTGGAAGTAGTAGTCTAGATTGGTACCTTCTAAAGTGGGGATTCATATTTCCCAATATTTATGTTTTACTCAGAATCTTCTCTTTCTAATGTATATGTAATACTGTATATGTTAGTACAGCAGTACATGTATTTAATTTATACATATACCTATATTGAGGATATATGTTCAAGTCTCTTACTGATAAGAATGGATGATCATAAAAGTTTGAAGACCACTTGTCTAAACATCTAATTATTACCTCACACACCAGGTTTCACCCAACTGAGAGTATAAAAGACTCAAGCAAATTCCCAAAGTGGGATCTGCTTCAGAGAGCACTTCCATTTTGGATTCCTCAAAGAGCGCCTCTCTTTTCCATTTCCACTCCCACTAGCAGGGACTCTGTCCTTCCCAGCCAGAAGCCAGAAAGAAAAAAAAAAGTCTTCTAAATTCTCTCTTCCTTTCTCTAGTCCTCTTTTTTGCTTTCTTTGCTGTTCTCTGTGTAAATAAAGGAGAGAAACAGGCTAGAATCAACAGTCCTTTAAAGTAGCCTGGCCTAGCCCTTTATTCTTAGTGCCTAACTAGTCCTGGGGCAAAAACTATTTCTACGGAAATCAGTAAGAATCTAACCAATGTTTTTTGCAATTCAAACTAACACACCCTCCACTGTTTTCATTTTCATTGGTTCTAATGCACAAGTTAGGCTACCATGTTATGAAAATTTTACTTATTTATTTGCAGGTGGTAGGTGTTTTGTTTTGTTGTTTTGACAAAGCAACCTGACACAGTGAATCTGAGTGAGAAGACACGCGTTTGAGTCCACAGTAAGCCACTAAGTTATGTGATCCGGGGAAAGTCACAGTCAGGGCTGCGCCTCAATTTCCACAACTGCACAGTGGAGACACTTATCTGATTACTATGCTGATCAAATGAGATGATACATACACAAATTACATATATACAAAGGTACTTGTGTAAAGTGGCATTCAAACATTATTAATGAAAGCCTATTAGGAATCCAAAATTTCAAAGTAATGAAATTAACTACAACTATACAAGGACCTTAAAGATTAATAGTCTCACCAATTAGCACTAAAACAGCTACATTTTTTCGTTAATTCTCCCACTGGGAAAATGTTTTGTGTAATAACTTTCCCTTAAGATATCCAAAACACTCTACAACATGGTAACTACAAAAAATAGCTATGCTGTCAGAATAATTATTTTACTTCTACGAAATAAAATCTATTTTATTTTATTGCTATGAAAACAATCATCAATAATCTTTTAAGTGAACACTTGCTTATTCTGCTTCAGAATTTTTGTAATAAAAAAGGAATAAAAAAATTGCTCCTAGTCAGAGAAATTAGGCAAGAAAAAGAAATCAAAGGCATCCAAATTGGAAAGGAAGAAGTAAAACTATCACTATTTGCAGACAACATGATATTACATATAAAAAACACTAAAGACTCCATCAAATAAACTGTTAGGACTAAAACAAATTCAGTGAAGTTGTAGGATACAAAGTCAATAAGCAAAAATCTGTTGTGTCCCTATACACTAATAATGAACTATCAGCAAGAGAAAATAAGAAGTAATCCCATTTACAATTGCATCAAAAGGAATAAAATACTTAGGAGTAAATTTAATCGAGGAAAACTACAAGACATTAATGAAGGAAGCTGAAGACAACACAAGGAAATGGAAAGATAGTCCATGCTCATGGATTAGAAGAATTAATGTTGTTAAGATGTCCAAGCTACCAAAAGCAATATACAGACTCAATGCAATCCCTATCAAAATTCCAATGGCGGGCTTCCCTGGTGGCACAGTGGTTGAGAGTCCGCCTGCTGATGCAGGGGACACGGGTTCATGCCCCGGTCCGGGTTCATGCCCCGGTCCGGGAAGATCCCACATGCCGCGGAGCGGCTAGTCCCGCGAGCCATGGCCACTGAGCCTGCGCGTCCGGAGCCTGTGCTCCGCAACAGGAGTGGCCACAACACTGAGAGGCCCACGTACCGCAAAAAGTTTTATTTGTAATAGTCAAAAAACTGAAAAGAATCCAAACAAACATCAGTTTATAGAAGGACAAACAAGCTGTCATATATCCCTACCCAGCAATACAATGGAATGAACTATTGATTTCTACAGCGTTGATGAATGCCAAATAATTAAGTTGAATGAAGGAGGCCAGACCAAAAAAAAAAAAAAAAAAAAAAAAAAAAAAAATTCCAATGGCATTTTTCACAGAAATATAATGAACAATCCTAAAATTTGTATGGAACCACAAAAGACCCCAAATAGCCAAAGCAATCTTGAGAAAGAAAAACACAGCTGAAAGCATCATGCTCCCTGATTTCAAACATTACAGAGAACAGTAATCAAATCAGTATGGTACATAAAACCAGGTACTGAATCAGTGGAACACCAACAGAGAGCCCAGAATAAACCCAAGCATATATGATCAATTAATTTACAACAAAGATCCAAAAATATACAACAAAGAAAGGATAGTCTCTTCAATAAATGGTGTTGGGAAAATCGGCCACATGGAAAAGAATGAAATTGGACACCTATTATACACAAAAATTAACTCAAAATTAATTAAAGGCTTGAACAGAAGGCCTGAAACCATAAAACTGCTAAAAGAAAACTGAGGAAGTAGTAAGCTCCTTGACATAAGTCTTGGTGATGATTTTTTGAACCTGACATCAAAAGCAAAAATGAACAAGTAGAACTACATCAAACTAAAAAGCTTCTGCACATCAACAAAATGAAAATGCAACCTCCTGAATGGAAGACGATATTTGCAAATCATATATCTGATAAGGGGCGAATATACAAAATATATGAAGAACCCATAGAAACCAATAGGAAGAAAACAAACAATCAGATTAAAAGATAGGCAGAAGATCTAAATATACATTTTTCCAAAGAAGACACACAGATGGCCAGCAGGTACATGAAAAGATTCTCAACATCATTAATCATCAGGAAAGTGCAAATCAAAACGACAATGAGATATCACCACATAACTGTCAGAATGGCTACTATCAAAAAGACTAGAGACAAGGGTTAGCAAGGATGTGGAGAAAAGGAAACCCTTTTACACTGTTGGTGGGAATGTAAACTGGTGCAGCCACGATAGAAAACAACATGGAATTTCCTTAAAAAATTAAAAATAGAACTACCATACAATCCAGCAATTCTACTTCTGCACATTTATCCAAAGAAAACAAAAACACTAAGTTGAAAAGACCTACCTCTGTGTTCACTGCGTTATGTACAACAGCCAAGATATGGAAACAACCTAGGTGTTCATCAATGAATGAATGGATAAAGAAGTTGTGATACACATATACACACTCACATACAAAGAGAGGAGTATTATTACTCAGCCCTAAAAAAGAATGAAATCTTGCCACTTGCAATGGCATGGATGAACTTCAATGGCATTATGCTAAGCGAAAAAGTCAGACAGAGAAATAACAAATATGTCATATGATCTCTCTTATATGTGGGGAAAAAAAAGTCGAAAACAAAGAAACACCCAAGCTCATAGATATAGAGAACAGACTGATCATTGCTGGGGTTGGGGGTGGGGGGATCGGTGATCTGTATTGGGTTTTTGTGTGTTTTTTTAGTTTAAATAAATTGAATTTTGAAAAAAATTAATGGAAAGGACAGTAAGAAAGAAGTGCACGCCAGGATGAGGAACCAGAATGTGCAAATGCAATAAAGAAGCAAGCAAATTTTGTTCAAAAACAAAGCCCAGCAGTCAGTAGACAGAAAATCTGTTCTGACTTGTAGAAATAAAATATTCAGATAACAGGATAGAGAAAAAACAAAACAAAAAGTAGGCAGTAAAAGTAAACAAATAATAAAACAATTAAAAATAGTTCACTACACAGGTATGGCTCTGGAGGAAGTAATATTTGAATCAAGTGTTAGGGCCTGGTTTGCACAAGTCCTGCAGCCTACAAATATTTTTATCGTTTCTCATATTTGGAGGAAAAAATAAAAACAGGTGCCCCCTCACCCAAAGTTTGGTTCATTTTTTTCATTTTCTTTCTCAACAAACATAATGTAAACAGCACTAAATCATTTCTGAATTCCTATGGAAATTACACATCTGCAGTATAAATAATAACAATACCTCTTGGCAAATCTTTAGAGAATGCTTTGGCATAATATACAGTCTGCTCTCTGGAGGTATAGGCATTGAGATGAGCACCCATGTTTTCAATCTCAAGTTCCAGATCTAACTGGGATCTCTTTTTGGTGCCCTGAAATAAAAGAGGAAAAAAAAAAAATTATGACCTCTTCCTTTATCCCTCATCTGTTCTAAACACTTCAGACAATGAATATGAGGACACAAGCCTATGTAAGGACCAAATTTGGTTTCTAAAGTACATCAGGCTTCAGAAATAGTGGCATATTTTCAAATGACCCTTACATCCCAAGAGAAAATCCTTGTTTTGCTCTACAGAGCAATTATCAGTAATTATTTCAGGTAATTATCCTGAAAAAAATATTTTAGAAATAAAAGTAAAACATGCTATACTATTATAGTTCTCCTTACCTGAGAACGAGATTTTGTGTTTACTGCCTCTTAAAGAAAATGCATTAAAAAAAAAGTCTTACAACTTGCCTTGAAAGCCATATGCTCCAGAAAGTGAGCTGTTCCATTATTCTTCTCATTTTCATATCTACTTCCAGCATCAATCCAGAGCCCAACCTTAATGCAATCAAGTAAGAATTAAATAAGACAACATCTTTCTTTTGAGGGGACAGGGTAGGGGTAGGGAGCAGTCTTCTTCCTTTTTCTGACAAATGCTTTCCAGCCTTAACATTAAAGTCTTCTTGAGTGGACTGACAGTAAGGTCCTATGAACTATGAGATTTAAAATTTTTGGTCATCAGGCTACTGCTGGGTGCCACAAATACCTACTTGCCAGCTTTACTGAGGATGCAGATTCTTAGCCCGATGTGTTACTACAGTCAATTAATAAGCATAGTGTAAAGAACATCAGAGACTGTCAGAAAATCTAGGTTCAAATCCTGGTTCTGTCATGTATTAGCTGTGTGACCTTGGACAAAACCATTTAACTTCTCTGATCTTGTTTTTCAACTGTAAAATGGATATGATGATCCCTGCTACAAAGAACTATTTTAAAGATCAAATAAGACAATATATGTAAAAACATCTGGCACAGAGTAGTCCAGCAAATACATCTCTCTCATTATCAACACTACATGACACAACAGGCTACAAGAACCAGATGTAGACACTTGTGTGGTATGGAAGTATCACAGGAAGAGATTCACAAGTGACAGTCACTTGTCAAGGCAAAATAATTGCTGCTACTTTCAACCACCTGCCAACCAAATGAAAAGCTTAAATTAAAATCAACAGTTTGCTCTCTCGCCTAATGAGGGGTCAAACTAAATCACTTACTGTGCATGTTGAGAGCCCAGAGTCTTCAGAGGCCACTCTGAGTCCATTCTCCAAACAGGTTACGTGCGTTTCAGGGACATTCAGAACAACTTGTGTAGCAGCCTGTGTACTTCTCAATCTGTTTCCTCCAAAATATAGTGACTGGTTGGGGGTGGAGGGAAGAAGCAAAACATATCACTATTCTAATATGAAATGTTGATTAGAAAACCAAATCTATCCCAAAGAGACTCTATACAGTACTCTTTCCTCCTTTTTATTCCACTGAGACCCACCCCTTGGCTGGCCTATGTTGAGAACATTCCTCAACCAACCACTTTCCTAAAGCCAGCAACATGTCTACATATGCCCTTTCCTTAAGGCAAATAAACAGTTACGATAATTATCCTGAAAGAAACTACTTTTTTTTTTTTTTTGCGGTATGTGGGCCTCTCACTGTCGTGGTCTCTCCCGTTGAGGAGCACAGGCTTCGGACACGCAGGCTCAGCGGCCATGGCTCACAGGCCCAGCCGCTCTGCGGCATGTGGGATCTTCCCGGACCGGGGCACGAACCCGTGTCCCCTGAATCGGCAGGCGGACTCTCAGCCACTGCACCACCAGGGAAGCCCAAGAAACTACTTTTATTTCAATACTTCTCCTAGAAATATTTAATATTCACCATAGAGGGCAGAAGCGGGGGTGGGTGAATGGGGGAAGCCAAGAAAGGGAGCGAAAAATATAAAAATACCTATACACAACGTAGAAATGCTTAAGGTTTCCACCGTTTAAGAAAAGCAGTTTTTAAAAAGGCAGAAAAAGAGAAGGCAGGAAGAAGGGCAGGTGCTCAAGATATACTCTGGCTGACTGACTTGTTGGCTACGGACTATTCGCCTGTCCCCAGCTTTTCTTTTCCTCTAGACAAAGCTAGTCTCGCACGAGAAATATACATACACAGACAAACTTTTCCTTTAGCTACCCCTTGGTTCACAGGAAGCAGAGTTGATGATGAAGACGCTGTTTTAAGAAAAAACAGAACTCGGGGCGGGCGGGGTGGGGTCCTCACTTTTTAATTTCCCCCAATGGCAAGCACTGCGATTTTAGTGATCAACATGCACTCTTTATAATGACTCCCTAGTGACTAGGGCAGGGGGCCGGTAAACCAGGGTCATGCCACAAGTCCCTGGCGGGTCACGCGCTGCGGGGTAACAAAGCCAGACCAGCGCCGGCGGGAGATAAGCGTCCCCGGCCGCCTGATGCCCCACGGGTCCCGGCTGGGAAGCCCCGCCCCGCCGTTGTCGGGGGGTGTGGATCCGACGCCCGCGGCCCGGCCGGGCGCCCGAGACTCAGGCTCGCCGCGCGGAGTTCTGCGGGAGAGGCCCGGCCTAGCCTGGTCCCGGCGGCACCCAAACAAATGGAGGGAAGCTCACCCGCCCGGCAGCACCTCCGGCCAGGAGCCTCTCGGTGAAACCGCAGAGCCTCCGCCGCACCGCGGGTAACACCACCACTCGGGCCGCCGCCGCCGCCGCCATCATCTTCCCTCGAGCCTGTGCGAAGGATGTGCTTCCGGGGTCGTGACCTGAGGTCCCAGACGAGAGGGCGGGCCCCACCAAGTGGCCATGATGGGAATGACACTCCTCTAAGCAGTCATGGAAGGAATGGACCTGGACGTGGTGCGAGCAGTCTAATAACGCGAATTAAGGAGTCTGTAGAAGCCCCTGTATCAGCAGTTACTTCAGTCGCGTACGACGTGCAAGGCACAAAAGTAGAAGAATGAAAGGTAACCTGGTACAACATATTATCCCATTGGTGGCCGAAATTGATTGGGAAAAGGGGAATATGATCCATAACTCATTGTCCTTAGAGGAAGCCTCTAGTGGGAGAGAGAGGCACCGTGAGGGGAGGGAAGAAAGTATCAGTGTTGACCCCTACTCACTTTTCAACACTTTACAGTCTGGCTCATTCCATTCCATAGAATTTGCTCTTGGTGAAGCCACTAATTGCTGAAAGATGGACAGTTTATAGACCTTCTGGTACCGTCCTCTTGGCTGAGTTTGACATGGTAAATCTCTGTGAAATTGTCTTTCCTCATTGCACCTTAAGAGCTCCTCCACCTTCTCCTAGTCCCTTCTTCTTCACCTTCTTGGACAGCTCTTTATTCACAGAGCTCAGTGAAACTAAACATCGCAAGCACTGTTCTAAGTGTGCTATTCAATATGCTCATTTTACAGATGCAGAAACTGGGGTAAATAACTTCCCTGAGGTCATGACACTAATAACAGGCGGTGTGGCTCCAAAGCCTTTGCACTTAAGCACCACACCATTTTGCCCTGAAAGTTGCTGTTCCCCAGGGTTCTGGACCTGGGCCTGGGCCTCTTCTACTGCACACTCTCCCTGATGGTTTCCACTTTCACCTGAGACCTTTCCTGTCTACCCAACCAGGCCTCTCTCTTGAGCTCCAGGCCCCCTTAACCACTCAGTGACTAGACAACTACACTTAAGTATCCCATTGGCACCTCAATGTCAACTTGTCCAAAATTTGTTTCACTGTCTTGCCCAGGAGTCTATTCCTGTATATTCAATGCAAAACAGCAAATGTTACCTCCATTCAGCAGACATCCAAACCAGATACCCAGTTTCATCCTCAGCTCCTCCCTTTTTCCCCACTCTCAACATCCAATTGATATATCCCTTTCCTGCCTCTTGAATCTACTCCAGCCCCACTGTCATAGTTTTTGGCCCAAGGGATTTTTTTTTTTTGCTGTATGTGGGCCTCTCACTCTTGTGGCCTGTCCCGTTGCGGAGCACAGGCTCTGGATCCACAGGCTCAACGGCCATGGCTCACAGGCCCAGCTGCTTCGCGGCATGTGGGATCTTCCCGGACTGGGGCACGAACCCGTGTCCCCTGCATCGGCAGGCGGACTCTCAACCACTGTGCCACCAGGGAAGCCCAAGGGATCTTTTTAGAATGCAACTTTTAGTATGATAGTACCATTATGAAGAACCCCCCAGTAATTTCCCTTGGTCAAGATAAAGTGAAGCCTCCTTAGTATGGAAGATAGGTCCCTCCATGAGCTGACTCCTACTTATCTTTCCAGACTCATCTCTCTCCACATCTCCCTTCTGCTATGAACCACAGGTTCAGCCCACAGGATCTATTATAAGGACAACCAAGGTTATCCCTTCATGTTTCTAAAACACATGTGTGTTAACATTAATAAAGAAATACAAACATCATACATATATACAAAAATATTTAGGTATAATCACAGGAAGCACCTGGGAAATTTTAGCACATCTTAATTCAAACTTAGTTTAACACATCAGGGAAAATGACAGAATAAAACCCCTGAAAATCCTCCCTTCTTTTAATAAAATAAATGAGAAAACTGGTTTTAAAAATGGCCAGAATCTGGGACTTCCCTGTGGTCAAGTGGTTAAGACTCCATGCTTCTACTGCAAGGGGCATGGGTTCGATCCCTGGTCAGGGAATGAAGATCCCACATACCATGTGGCATGGCCAAAATAAAAATGGCCAGAATCAACATTTTCAAAACTCTGGAAATGAAACAAGTCTTGCAGTAATCTGGGGAGTTCTTCCCCCCCGCCAATAAAAACACCTAAATTGCAATAAGCAAAGGGAGCTTTATAGTGCTTTATAGTGTTTAAACTTATAGTGTTTAACTCTATCCTTAATCCCTTCCTCCTAACTCCATGGTAGCCTTGAAAACCAGGATCCCACAACCAAGATGAAAATCGGCAGCCTGGCAGCCACCAGAGGGGGCAAAATTGGGCTGGAGTTCCTTCAAGGCCTCAAATCCTGAGAACTGAAATTATTTGACCTGTCTCATGCTTCCCTGGATGATCTCACTTGCAAGTTTGCCTTTATTTAACCTGACTCAAAGCAAAAAGCCTTTTTCTGGGGATGTTTGTCAAAAATATTTAGAGGCAGTTATCTAACTTTGGGTGGCTGCCTGGAGGTAGTAGATAACAGTAAGGGCAAACAACAGGCAAACCAAGAAGCTTAGAAGGAAAAGCTAGGGCCTGAGCTGTCTATACAGGATACCTCGTTTTATTGCGCTTTGCTTTTTTGTGCTTCACAGATATTCTGTCTTTTACAAATTGAAGTTTTGTGGCAACCCTATTGGAACCATTTTCCCAACAGCATTTGCTCACTCCATGTCTCTATGTCACATTTTGGTAATTCTGACCATATTCCAAACTTTTTTCATTATTATTATATTTGTTATGATGATCTGTGATGTCAGTGATCTTGAATGTTACTAAGGGCCACATGATGGGTAGCAATTTTTTAGCAAGAGATAACTTTTAAATTAAGGTCTGTACATTGTTTTATTAGACATAATGCTACTGCACACTTAATAGACTATAGTATAGTATAAATGTAACTTTTAAATGCAGTGAGAAACTGAAAAATTCATGCAACTCACTTTATTGCAATATTCACTGTATTGTGGTGGTCTGGAACTGAACCTGTAATATGTCTGAGGTATACCTATAGAGACTTTGAAAAGCCCAGATGTATTCCTGGGAATCTGGAAGGCCGTGCACATGTATATGGCTGTGTGCATACCCAGGGCTGTACACATGCCCAGGAAAGGAGAAGGCCCTAAACCCTCCCACAGCACTGACCTTGAGGCTCTGTGCAAGCAGAAAGTGAAGGCTAAGGCACAGTTGTCAACTGTCTGGCTAAGTGTTGAAGGTATACCATACACAGAGCTCCTCAACAACAACTAGAAGTTCATTGGTTCTAGACATTTATGGAAGTATCTGTATAATCATTAAGCTAGTTGAGCAGAGACTTCAGTGGTAACACATGACTTTAAGGAATTTACTTAGAAAAGTCACTAAACAAACAAAAGCAAACAGCAACAACAAAGTCTGGGAGGGGGTGGAATCTGATATTCAGAATTGACACATTTATTATTTTAAATGTCCAGTTCTTAACAAAAAAATTACAAGACATTCAAAGAACTAAGAAAATATGGTCATGCACAGGAAAAAAAAATCGATAGAAAATGTCCTTGAGGAAGCCAAGACATTGGACTTAAAAGACAAAAACTTTTTAAAATAGCTGTTTTTAAAATTTTCACAAAACTAAAGGAAACAATGTCTAAAACACTAAAGGAAGGTATGAGAATTATGTCTCATCAAATACAGGATATCAATAAAGAGATAGTAATTATTTTTAAATCAAAATCCTGGAATTAAAAAGTACAATAAATGAAATGAAAAATTCACTGAAAGGGCTCAACAGCAGATATGAACAGGTAGAAGAAAGAACCAGAAAATGTGACGATAGATCAACTGAGATTAACAGTCTGTGGGTTTAAAAAAAGAAAGAATGAAGGAAAATGAACAGAACCTCAGAATCCTTTGGGGTACCTTCAAGCATTCCAACATACACATAATGGGAGTTCCAGAAGGAAGGGACAGAGAGGTAGGGAGAGAAAGAATCTTTGAAGAAATAATGATCCAAAACACCCAAATTTGATGAAAAACACTAATCTACATGTCTAAACATCTGAACAAATTCCAAGTAGAATAAACTCAGAGATCCACACCAAGACATCATAATAATAAAACTACAGAAAGAGAAAATCTTAAAAGCAGCAAGAGAAAAGCAGTTTGTCACATACACTTGATCCAATAAGGTTAATAGCTAATTTTTCATCAGAAACCATGGAGGACAAAAGGCACTGAGATAACATATTCGAAGTCCTGAAAGGAAAAGACTGTCAGTCAAGAATTCTATATCTAGTAAAATGATCCTTCAAAAATGAAGAAAAGGGCTTCCCTGGTGGCGCAGTGGTTGAGAGTCCGCCTGCCGATGCAGGGGACACGGGTTCGTGCCCCGGTCCGGGAAGATCCCACATGCCGCGGAGCCGTTAGGCCCGTGAGCCGTGGCCGCTGAGCCTGCGCGTCCGGAGCCTGTGCTCCACAATGGGAGAGGCCACAACAGTGAGAGGCCCGCGTACTGCAAAAAAAAAAAAAAACCCTTAAAAAAAAAAAAAAACCCTTAAAAAAAAAAAAAAAAAAAAAGAAGAACAGCTTGAAAATGAAATTAAGAAAATAATTCCATTTATAATAAAGGAATAAATTATTTAGGAAAAAATTAGTAAAAGTAATGCAAACTTATACTCTGATAACTACAAAACGTTATTTATAGAAATTAAAAACGAGCTATATAAATGGGAAGACATCCTATGTTCATGTATCAGGAGACTTAGTATTGTTAAAATGGCAATATTCCCCAGATTGATCCACAGATTCTGTGCACTCTCTATCAGAGTCTCAGCTAGATTCTTTGTATACTTTAGAACCTGATCCTCAAATTCATATGGAAACTCAAAGGACACAGAATAGCCAAGACAATCATGGGGAAAAAAAGAATGAAATTAAAAGATTCACATATCCCAGTTTCAAAACTTGCTACAAAGCAACAGTAATCAAGCAGTGTGGTACTAGCATAAGAAAAGACAATCAATGGAATAGAATTGAGAATCCAGAGATAAA